ATATATATGGGACTACCCTATATCTATCCAAGCTGGATAGATATGATAACCGGCAAAATTTGTATTATCACGTATTAGTCAATACATATTCTTTTCACATGATTGGTAATAAGAGCTTCCATTTCAATTTTTGAGAGGGGGGGGGGGCATTTTGAAAACTGGTCTATACCTTTAAAGGTAATACAAAGTTTTGGTATGGGATCATGAATTTGGTTCAAATGAACATATTTGAAGCATGTGAACCTACTATTCAGGGATCCTTGTCGCGGTTGAAATCGAGTCTAAAGTTATGAAATTGTCAATAATAAACTCTTTATGTTGTTTAGCTCCCTCTCAAGGTCAAGATATTAATTAAGCTATAAAACAATGTTCTTGACTAAAATCGACCGGTTTGCTATTCCCGTTTGGAAATTATATATCAGAACTACATATTCTGTGATTTTCATGGTCGCAGCTACCATTGTATGGCCGTAGGCGCTCTTTGAAATTTATCAAAATTTACCGGGAGCACCGGTAAATTTTATATTCAATTTTTCTCTAAAGCATAAGTGTTTCAGGGCTAAATTTTTTAGTGCCCTTAATACATCCACATGAGTACCCAAATATATCAAAATTGTAAAGAATCACTATCCACCCAATTTCCGAACTTTGCCAAAACTTTGTATTACCTGTAATAGTTGACAACTAGGGTTAGTTTGGTTTTATTATTATAAGCCCCAATCTTTCATTCATTCATTCATTCATGGCCATGATATACCCCCTCCCCAAAGCAGATTGTTCATGTCTTCACTGTACACTCATACTGTTTTCACACTGGCAAAATTTTGCTTAACCCCGTACTATAGGTGGGGTTAAAGGGAGACTTAGCCCTACCTATAGTCCGGGGTTAAGCTTATTCCACTTTCTTTTCACACTGGCAAAATGTTGCTTAACCCCGTACTATAGGTGGGGTTAAAGGGGGGGTTTTAGCCCTACCTATAGTCCGGGGTTAAGCTTATTCCACTTTGTTTTCACACTGGCAAAAATTTGCTTAACCCTGTACTATAGGTGGGGTTAAAGGGGGGTCTTAGCCCTACCTTTAGTACGAGGTTAAGCCTATTCCACTTTCTGTTCAGACTCGTATTTACCAAAGTGGGCTAACCCCACCTATAGTACGGGGTTAACTAACCCTGCAAAATAGCAGGGCTAACCTCGCAATTGTGGTGCTAACTCCTGCTAACTCCGCAATTGCGGTGCCAAGCAATTGAATGAGAACAGAAACGAAAAAAAAGTCCGGGACTACGCAGTGAAGCGAATTAATGAATTCCATGGCCATGGCTAGTACGGGGCTAAGGAATTGCAGTGAGAAAAGCCAAAAAAGATAGTCCGGGGTTAAGGATAGTATGGGGCTAAGCAAAGTACAGGGTTAAGCAAAACAAGTGTGAAAAGAGTATCATTGTACTGAGAGTGAAAAGTCATTAAACTTATGTTGACCCGTGGCTGACCTTTGAGCCTAGTTAGGAGTGACAGGTTATGTAATTTTATCTCTTCCTCAATCCAAGTCATATGAGGCCCGTCTTCACTATATCGAGATTGCCAACTATCCAGCTATTTGAACTATCCCGATCCCATCATGCACAACGATTTCCAGTTCGCACATGCGATCTATACCGCTCAGCGCGCTAGTACAACCACTGACCTCGAGTAAACACAGAAAACCGGAAATCGTTGTGCATAATGGGATCGGGATATTATCCCGACCAACTATCCAGCTAATTTGCTACTTCGGTCTAATGAAGACGCAAATTAGCTGGATAGTTTGCGATCGGGATAGTTCAAATAACTGGATATTTGGCAATCTCGAGATAGTGCAGACACGCTCTTTGAAATTTATCAAAATTTACCGGGAGCACCTGTAAATTTTTATATTCAATTTTTCTCAAAAGCAGAAGTGTTTCAGGGCTAAATTTTTTAGTGCCCTTAATACATCCACATGAGTACCCAAATATATCAAAATTGTAAAGAATCACTATCCACCCAATTTTCGAACTTTGCCAAAACTTTGTATTACCTGTAATAGTTGACAACTAGGGTTAATTTGGTTTTATTATTATAAGCCCCAATCTTTCATTCATTCATGGCCATCTATTACGTCTATGGATATACCCCCTCCCCAAAGCAGATTGTTCATGTCTTCACTATACACTCATTGTACTGAGAGTGAAAAGTCATTAAACTTATGTTGACCCGTGGCTGACCTTTGAGCCTAGTTAGGAGTGACAGGTTATGTAATTTTATCTCTTCCTCAATCCAAGGGCGCGTTCATGCTTGATTTTGACGGCCAGAATCAGGCATCTGTTACGCGTTTAGTTTAAAACACGGTTGCGTCTTAGCTCACTTTTGTAGAATCACCGAAAAACGGCGATCACGATCGCCGATCGTAAACTCACAAAAAGATGCGTTTACAATTTGTAAACGCGTTTAAATGGGGTCAACGCACTGACCTCTAGTAGGTCTACGTAGCATGCACAGTGAAGGTTTGCGAATCCAGCTGGAAGACCAATTAAGGCCACACACGTAGAATTGCCTTGGGAGCCAGAGAAGTAAGCATGAACACTACATCGTGGAACTGCGATCACGATGAGCGTTTACGATGAGCGTTTCAGATCGCTCATTCTGCCTTCAAAATTTAAGCATGAACGCAGCCATAGTCATATGGTTCCTGTCACCAAATGTTTATACCTTATGTAATATGTTTATCCATCGAATGCAGAGGGATGTGGTCATTTGTTTCCAAAACCTCAAGTATAAATGGAAGAGATGGTTTACTTTTTACATTTTCTGATTCTTGGAAGTAGCCTCTATATTTTGGAGAGACCTGGGGTTTTTCTATCCTGAAAACAAAAGATTTCTTTTATGATGTAAGGTCTACACATGTGGCAGTATTTCCATGGCTCGAGGGAAATCCAAACTTAGTAGTAATCTATTCATAAAGAAAGCAGAAAAGCAGAGAAGCAGATTAATGAGAGTTTGAACGAAATTGCACGAAAAATTAAAAGTTAATGATTTTTTTTTTACAGTGGTGTTCACTACAGGTATGGGCTCTTTAAATTGGCTGCATTCGTAATGTCTCTGATGTTGTGGCCGCAGACAACTTTCCCATTTGTTCCAACACACAAAATGATTACAATTTCAATCTGTTAAAAATGTTCAACTCAGGAGGGTCTTTTCTCTGTAGAGGACACATTAACATGCTATCCATAATATATTTTGAGTAGTGCCGTAATGGAGAAAGCACTTTGAAGAAAGAACAAATATCGATGATTTTTTTTTTTTTAAACACAAAAAATGGGAGAGAAAGTTGACAATTGAATGTATGATAATATAAATAATGATAATCATAATTTCTTATTTTCTATTTAGACCTTCAGTAAATAATTCACAACTATACTATTCTTACAGACAACGCATATTTTGGTCTATTTGGATTTCTGAAAAGTCTGCGAAACCCTTGTTATTGAGGAACTACACTTGAATGTCTGCCTTCATCTGTACGTGTGGCCTAAAATGTTAATGTGAAGCCATCCATAATTTCCATGGATAATTCTGAGAAAAACAAAAGTCTCAAGATTACAGTGTTTGCTTCATTCAGCAGAGTGCACTGGATGGAAGGAAAACAATTCCATCCTCTTCTCGTAAATACAGCTATTTGTCAAGTGTGCCTATATTCCCACTGATATTCAGAACACCATCTGCCTAAGCTGTATCACTCTACAAAATAAGGAAGTCTGGAGACCCAGTTATCTTGAGAGTTGAAACTCCAAATTCTGCTTTCCGAGGCAAAGATGTTTTTTGTCTTCTTTCATTCTAGCAATTTAAGCCTAGTACAAAGTAAGATGTAACTTGAACAGAAACATCAATGTACATGTACTTGTTTCACATGAATTGATTCAACCAGAAAATTGTGCACAATGGTGCACATAGGTAGAAATGACTATTTGCTGGTGTCCTGTCTATTTGTGTGTTTTATTTCAATAACTGAATGCATTATCAACTCTTCAAATGCACCCATAGATGAATGTTTGCTTTCTGATTCAAAAACATTTGTTTCTCTCATTCCTGCATTCTGCAATTTATGCCTAATACCTGTATGATGTGGCTTCAAATGATCTGGATATATTTCATTTCGTTTCATTTCATTTCATTTATTTTCCACATTAAAAACCAGAAAAATCAGAAAAATATACAAGGTAACAGATTACATTGTACACATTTGACACATAGAGCAAATGAAAAACAGATACATAAGCATAAAAGAACAATGAAAATCTACATCAGTTAACAAACATCAACATTAAAACATAAAAAGGTAAGTAATGTAGATGGGGCTAGAAAAAGCGAAGCTTATGTGTTTCAATATGTTTCATTTACTTCCTCTTATTTGCCTGAAATTCATCTATTGCTGTCAGTTGGATTTTTTGAAGATAAATATAGAGATGAAAAGTTCTCTTTATTCATAACATATCCTTTATAATGTGAGCCTTTATATTTTTTTTTTACATTTGTTAGTGGTTCTTGAATTTAAACCTGTTTGGTTTAATTTTCCAGTTCCTCAGTCAAGTTTATGCCATTCATTTGAATTCTCTTTATCACTTACTTAAATCCTTTCCATTTGTGCATGTCATAAATGTTAAACAAGTGCAAATATGAGATTGTTTATTGTTAACATATCTTATTGTCACTATCTGAGATAAATTTGCCTTGGTTGTAGATTATAAAGAAGTATCTCTTACCAGTTTTGTTTCATCTAAATTTAAACACATTATATGTTGTAGTTTGGAGCCAAAGGGTGTTTAATAATATAATTAAACACAAAATTAATGCCCTACTGTACCTTCTCAACTTCTCAAGTACATCTTATACATGTTGTATAAATACTTGTCAAGATACTTTGGTATTGCGATAAAGTTAAATGATCTGAACAGCAACCCCATATGTTTTTTCTGTTCTGCGTCCAACAGGTGGACGGCCAGCCTTGAAGATTCGCCCCCTCTTCGCTCCATCCATGGGAGCTTCCACATCGCACCAAGGCCAGTGCAGCAGCGACAGCAGCTCCTCCAGCTCATCCCTGCTAAAGCCTTCAGTAACCACGGCAACGGGATGCTCTACAGAGGAGCAGGACGCTCACCCCTAGCCGGACCGCGCAGAGTTCACGACCCCCGCTTCCTCTCAAGAGAGAGTGCATCTTGAGAGTTGAGAAACGGGAGAGGGTGTTGGTTTAGAACCAGGAATGGAAGTGGCCTTTGACCTTGATGAAGCACTGGATGGACACACAGTCTTGATACCAAGATAGACGAGGCTTGTCTTCACTATCTTGAGATTGCCAAATATCCAGCTATTTGAACTATCCCGATCGCAAACTATCCAGCTAATTTGCGTCTTCATCAGACTGAAGTAGCAATCAGCGGGATATTTGGTCGGGATTGTCATCCCAAGATATCTTGGGATAGTTTGCAAAATATCCCACTATTTGGCAAAATATCCAGCTAACGCTGAGGACGAATCTCGAGTTAATGAAGACACGATTTTTAACTTCAGGATTATTTCCCAAATCAGAAATAGCGGGCTATTTGGCAATCTCGAGATGATGAGGACGCGCCTATGGAGTACTGTATACTGGGGTGTAGGAATTGATATACAAGACAGTATAAACAGTATCCCTCCCGAAAGTATCATTAATTTCTTGAGCCCTGTAAATCTCCATGCTTGAGGTAAATTGGTTGACTCCTAGCTGTATGGCTCTTTCAAGAACAGTAAAATATAAGGGATATAATTATATCAGGGCTGGATGCCAATGCCACTGCTGGGCTTTTTGTGACTCACTTGGGTTTTGGTCAAAAAGGCAGCAAAATTTGAAAGACCTCAAATTTAGTTTTTTTTCATTTAATATACTTTTTCAGAAAATTAATCTGCTTTTTGGAAGGTTAGAGATTTAGTTTTGATACAGGAAACCTTGTCAGATTGAGAAGAAGGATCTAACTTCTAGAACATGTAGTCTTTCTTCCAGATGGGATGCCATTTTTCAACCTAGGGCTGCATTTTAAAAAAAAATGAAGGAAGCAAGTTCAATTGAGGTCAAATCATTTTAATGGACCCTCATTCTGCCAAAATGAAAAGAGTTTCATGATTATAACCTTATTGTGATGTATCAAATTTAGAGTAATGGAGAAAACAATCTCAGTGTAATATCATCTTCCTAGTTTGCCCTTTGAAATCCCATTCAAATTTAAAATGGAGCAAAAATTCATTTCTTTCAAAGATTCCTTATCCTATGATCTTGTGTAAGTCTTGGAACAAGAGAATACCAGTAAAGTAGAAATTGCTAAAAATGGAACAAAATTCACCCTGGTGGCCATCACACATCTTGAGAACATGATACCTCTCATTATCTTGATATTCTTATTGACATTCTTATCATCATACATGTATACGTGTTGATGTTAGTTATCAAATCTGAAAGAAGATTTAAAGCAAAGCCCTGTCACACAGGATCGAGTCCCTCTTACAGGTCGCTTTCTTAAGTTCATTACCAGACATTCCGCTCCAATCTCGCCCCCTCCGACAACAACGACGACAACGTGGAGGGAAGAGGAACGTGACTCAAGAATACGCAGAGGATGGGAAAGAAATTAAGCTTGCTTTCTTCATCACCAACTCCACCATTTCTTGATTTGTCATCTTGTGAGTGTGGGTGAAAATTGAATTACATTCTGATGCGAAAAGGATAGTTCTGAAAATCAAAATTCATGCATTGCCCTAGCAGATGTCTTTTTTATGCCTCTCTATCTTATTTATTGTGAAGCCATTGGGTTAATCTTCTGTTCAGCATACTTTCATATCTTTTCGTGTCTTTGGGCTGGACTAGGGCAAATTGTCTGAGAGCACTGTTACGAAATGGACAGATGATCCATAATGTAGATTTCACTGTCATTCTCAGTTGCCTTTGCAATACGATTTGAAAGATGTTTAAGTAAGCATTAATGTCACGAATTTGGTACTGATGTTTCCACTGTCAAGTAGGCTGTCTTTAATTGAGAGAAAATGTACATTTTCTGCAGGAAGTGTATTTTCTTAAATTTTAGAAAATTAGGGCTTTTCCTTCATATGTGTCTTCTTATTCACCTTCATATAGGAGCAATGTTGTGTTATAATAAACATTCACATTACGTATCACAAAACAGGCCTACTTAGCTCAATAAGATAGACCTGAAATAAGATAAAAGGATTGATGCACATTTCATGTTTAGAGATGAGGTTTTACATGATAAAACAAGATGTATCATAAAACAACAGTTAAATCTCAGAACTGGATGTCAAATAATGTTCTTTTCTTGAAACCTCTGAGAAAATTTTCTGGAGAGAAACTAACAATCAGAAAATATCACGTGGGAATCTAGAAGACATGAGAAGGGTTATGCATTCTACCCATGGTGACATGAGGGAACGGTATGTGAGTGATAGGCCCATGACCATTCATGATGAGAGAAAAAAAATCATACCATATTGCTACATCCATGAGACTACCGGTACCAAATCAACAACAAGTAGCCGGAAAGAATTAATATCAATCCACGAGTGGTCTAATATATTAAAACGGCTTACATCTCAATCCATCATGGCATTTTAAAGTCTTGGTCCTGCTTTATGAAAACTCTTGAAAGTTGAAAGAGAGGTACTTAACATAGGGGCAGGTGCATGTATTTATGGGCCTAACTTTGGTTGAGCATCTGCTCAGACCTTGCTTGCTAGCCAGAGAATGATTTCTGTTTGCTGTCACTAATGACCCCTGGTACTAGTCCCCTGTTGGGAAACCCCTGGATTCGACCCGACCTGGCGTTTTTATCTGGGTCAAAAACAGTTTTATTTTTCTCTCTTTCTCCCTGCCCCTTTCAAAAAATAGCTTTCTCATGCCTGTCATTGGCTTTGATCGTGCATTTGGTCGGCTCAAGTTGTCAGAAGTTCACAAGAATGAATCGGGCGACAGGCATTTGTCTGGGTCAAAAACTTTTTCTCGCCCGTTAATTTTTTGAAGGTATTAGCAGTGCTCATTTATTATCGTGTGCTTTGATTGGCACCACTTGGATAAATGTCTACAGTAAAAAATCAGACAATTTGATGGTTATATATCAATCTCTTCCATTGTTTTTTGAAACAATATAAGACAGTATAGAACTATTTGTGTAGGCCCAACTAGAAACATACCCCAAGCGATAACAGTATACTGTTAAATACTAACATTTAAATATATTGATTAACAATTCAAACAGTTTAGAAGTCAATATCTATTAAAGGGATCCGGTAACTTTGTCTCAGATTCTGAAAGAAAATCCTGGATTTAGCTAATGCTGCAATCATAATTATAAACCTTTAGGTCAGTCAGGAACCCCATGACTTTTACAAGCCGATCGCCTGTCTGATTATCAAGATATTTATGATTGGAAATCGAAACCAAGTTTGCGTTTGCCAAACGGTTTTCATAACACTACAGTCTATTGGGAAAAACGAGTATGGTAAAACCGGGCACTCACAGATTTTTTTACTTTTTAGGCACTTCTTGATCATTTTGAAGCACGATTGTTTTAGGGCTTCAATATTACACCATATCACAGACACTGATAACACGTAGGGCCGTGTATCTCAGATTTAAAATTGTTAAAGGTAAAGACCAGTAATGGTCATGCGATTGCATTGTGAAAGAAACGTTGTGGAATCGATCAGAAAAGGTTGATCATCTAGCATCTAGCATCTGCAAGGTTCTGGAATCATCAAAATGATAAGAAATTTGGCCCATTCTTCGTAAAGTTACAAGCACTATACACAGAAAGATGTATATGGGACTACCCTATATCTCTCACAGACCATGAGAGAAACAAATTTACCAAATATATGAATTAGTAGGCGGTTTCCCGGCAAATTTTTGAACATCATGTATTAGTCAAAACATATTCTTTCACATGATTGGTAATGAGAGCTTCTATTACATTTTTTTAAATTGGGGCGTTTCCAATACTGGTCTTTACCTTTAAAAGATATGCCTTTAAAGAAACATCGTCTCTAAACTTGTACTGCTGTTCAACTCTGTGAAGTTTGTCAGTCAGCACACTGTCTTGTGCATGATGGAGTTGTAATAAATAAGGATCCATCTAGCTCACAATAAGATTTGATATATGATTTATAGGGGCAGTGTGGCCATCGGAAATGGATGGTAAAAAAAAAAAAGGATTATACTGTTAAGTCCTAGTAAGTTAATGCGGGATCTAACAACTTGTCTGGGCAATGTGGGTTCCACGAGAAATGGGCGAAACTCCTTGTGAATGGATGATTTGGAGAGCTGCCAGTAGGTGTATGAGACATATCTGGTAGAATTCAGCAGAAGTAAAGTGCTTTCTTGAAGTCTGTAGAACAGTTTTGAAGGCTTGATATGTTGCCTGCATATTTATTTGCATGTGTTTGGTTTATCATTGTGTATTTATTTCCATTTATTTGATTACATTATTTGTATTTTTGACATGATCCTAAAGAGGCAAAATACAATTAAAATAAATATGTTCATAATCTTATTTTGGTGCCTGTGAAATTACATTCAGATGTAACTGGTTTGCACATATTTCAATATACAATGAGTATTTGAAGGGGAGAAAACTCACAATCCTGTTTCTGTAACCATGGACCTATAAACTAAGATACCGTAGGTCCACGCTGTAGCTTTTGGAAATCGAACATCGATGCAGTTTGCATCAGTGAGCAATATTTGGATATTAAAGATAAACTTGAGTTCTGGTAAAAATAGACAATGAATTCTCACAGAATCAAACGAAACTTACACTGACTGTTCAAGATTACAAATAAATGTCATTTGCCAAACAATTTTGGTAGAAAATGTATACTGGCTGAGTAATGAGCATAGAATGATATTAAGGAAATCAAGGTAAGTATGCCCGACACTATTTGTGTAGTCCCATATACATCTTTCAGTGTACAGTGCTTGTTACTTTACCAAGACTGGGCCAAAATTATTATGATTTTGATGACTCCAGAACCTTGGAGTACACACCAATACCTACATGCTACATGATCAACTTTTTCTGATCCATTCCACACCTTTTCTTTCACAATGCAATCGCATGACCAGAACTCAAATTTATCTTCAATTCAAAGAGTATTATTCATTTTAACATTCCAAATGAGTTTATTTTGTTAATTAAAGAAAAAGCTCTCTAAATTTTACATATCAACTTTTTAGGTTGGATTAGTTTATGGGAGGCACTTGGAGAACTGTCTTTTCTGACCAAGAATGTATATTTAAATTTATTTTGTCAAAATCAGAGAAGTTCACCAACGGTGGTTTGTATTTTGATATCACTGTACCTCGATTGGATGTATAGACAATAATGAACATAAAGAGATTATGAATTCATTTTTCATGATTTGAAATTAGACCATTTTATCGATTGTCATTTTCTTGTTTGGGGAAACCCAGTGTTCATAAATATTCTATACAATTGATTTTCGGAACATACCAGTATTTCAGAGTTTTTTTTTGTTGTAGACCTATTTGGCTCATGAATATAATATTGAAATCAATGAGCAGATTAATGATTTGATTGATTGGTTAATTGATTGATTGAGTGACTGACTTGACTGACTGACTGAATGAATGCAGTCAAGGAATAGTTTTTTTTAAATAAAATGCATTATTAATTTTCAGGTGATTGATTGGTTGCCTGATTAACTGTTATATCAATTGTTTGAATGGTGTTTTTGTGGCTATGATATGAAGGTCTGTGTTTGCGGGTTGACCTGTACAGATACAGGCCTATACCATGGACATGTTTGGAGTTAATATACGATATATAAAGATACTCTGAATGAAAAAATGATAACAGATTTTATTTTTTAACGCTATAAAGCACATACAAAACATCCACATATAATATATACTACTCCTATACTGCTACTACTACTACTACTACTACTACTACTACTACTACTACTACTACTTCTACTACTACTACTACCAGAGTTATGTACTACTACTTCTGATACGATGCACAGGCTACAGTATGAACTCTCGCTGGCCCCACTGAACTTCTGACCTTTGCCTTTGGTAATACAGGGCTCTTATCTCTGTCTCTGCATCCAGCCTTATGTAATCGTTACGATCTCGTAATAGAAATTCCCCGCCATCGCCAGCTTTAGGAAAGGGCGCTCATGTATCAATGTTTACAATGAAAGTTCTGGAGGAATCTGGAAAATGTTTTGTGACCTGCAGTAACCATAATACATGTACACGGGGAATTACGTCAAAACAAGTCAAATACAGTACGCATTTGAGGCAGGGGGTCAAGTCAAGGGAATATGCTTGGTGAGATTTCTCTTCATGTGCATACTTTTGTGCGAAGATGGTGTACAAAAACTTTTTATTAGCAATTAAATCAATCTACCACCTGTGTACATCTACACAAGTTTCTCTTCAAATGATCATGCCTAATTTTTGTGATGTCTCCCATATCTTGAAATGATAGTGTAGATCATCATTATCTTGACGATGTTTTATTTTCACTATTTTTAAAACTTGCACTTTTCCCTTCGTTGGGGAAAGACCGTGTCCCTTGATTACTGACAACCAACTTTTAAATTAGACACAATAAAACTACTGGGGAGAGATGGGGTTGAATCGCAAGGAAAGATATGTGACAGAGCGCCACCTACGTCAATCCATTACCGTTTCCCAACCATGTCCCAATCACCATTGGGCGCTGTGTGATTTACAGCGAGCGGAGCTGTCATGCCGCGATCTCCCGTCAGTTCGGGATCACAGACGGAGTGACCACTGGCTGCTGTGGTTTGCAGCTCATTTGCGGTTGGCATGTTTATCTTGGTAAGAATAAATGACTTGGATAGGACGAAAATACGCATACATTAGTGTGTAGCCGTGTTTGCTCTAAAAAGTCTCATGAAGTAGGTAGTAATCAATTTCAATGCACTACACTTGCCTTTCATTATTGATACACGTTCACCTACCACACGTCTCTCTCTCTCTCTCTCTCACCACACACACGCACACGCACACACGCACGCGCGCGCGCGCGCACAAACACTTTTCGTACGAAAAATCAAATATTGAAAAGTGAATAATCTTGGTAGTGATGGTGTGCGATACCGTCTGCCAGGAAAAGTATAGGCAGGGAGACAAGAAGTCCTCCACCTTTCCAGTACACTTTAATTGACACGGTTAGGACAATTTTTGTCATTTTCGTTTGGTTTCATATGAATCCCTTCTAAGACCAGACAAAGATGTTATCATTCAAAATGTCGACGTATATACGCATTTGTATAATGTCCGTGATCATGAATAAACATTTCATTGACCCTTTATTTAAAACGCTTTAATTTTGTAAGCATGTTGTTGTTTTTTGCCCCGGTTACTCATTGGCGCATAAACTGACACGCAGGGAGTGAAAAATAGAGAAAAGATTCTGCGACCTAAAAGTGTAGCCAAATGAATAATCTCCACAAGCAGAGCCTCCAATATTACTAAGCTCTTCTTTACGACGCCTCCGTATACAACATTTAGAATGCTGGGTCGAACAGAGCTTCTGATTGGTCGAAAGTCTACTTCGAGGAAACGGGTGATAGGTTGAGCAAAAGGGGCGGGGCTTATCCCACCACCTGCGACTTTGACCAGCTGTGTGTTGTAAAGTACCTGTTACGGTTTGTGTGTGTGTATGTGGTGTAAGACTTGCGCGACTCTTCCTCCCAAATTGCACTGGAAGGCAAGCCAGTAGGCGGGAGGGTTTGCTATGGCAGTGATCCGTTACACACGGGCCGTTAAAACCACGCTAAGCCTCAGGGGATTTTCATCAGTCGCTCTTCGGTAACACAACACTAAAAAAAGTGGTTGGACCTCATGTGAGCTGTGCGTGCTGTTCCCTCTCTCCACTACAGCTCTGAGACCTGGTATCAGTGTAGTACCTCATAACACATACAGCCACCATCTGGGGTGGGAGTGGACCTGAAGAGAGTGAGGAGGGGTGTTGACAATCTACAACTTCATTCCAGCTTCGCGAATTGATTGGACTGGACACTGGCTCAAACCACGGGAGGACACTTGTAGATACATACTTCAAGTTTACTTTGACAGTGATATTGAAGAGGACGATGTGAAACTTGGTACTTCTGTCTGTGGACTTCAAACCGATCACATCTCCCTCTCTAGCCAGTCTAGATGGGCGTACCTCGATGTTTATCTTCCAAAGCTGTACAAGATATCTATGGATTGAAGTTGGACAATTCATCTCAAGTCTTCTGTTGACATACCCACTCAACGCCTCCTTTTCGATAATATTTACTCAGATTTGAAGTTTGGAATTGAGAACCGATTGTTACTGTGAGTTTTTATTGTGCAGACATTTCGTGAAGTCTTCTGACGTCGTTTGTATAGTTTGACAGTGATTTTTTTTTTTAATAGCTGTGAAGGACTGATTTTGGCTGCCCATCGGAGCGCAATGGCGGAGTCCGCCGACGGTTGCGGTACCTTCAATGATGTCGATGCTTTAGCTATGGAATATATCAGAAACTTTGACTTGAGCCTCTGGCAGCTTGGGGCAGCGCTGAAACGTGAACCCGATATGGATTGCGACGGTGATCAGACCATGTGTGAGGTATTCACGCTCGCCCAGGCTCAGGGGCAGCTTCAGCGGTGTTCGACGTACCCCGAGTTGGGACCGGCTGAACAGGAGTTCATCATTCAACACAGCCAGGGCCATGGCCCGCGTAGCATGAGCAGCAGCAGTAGTATAAGCAGTACGAGCAGTGATGACTGGAACACTAAATTACCCTCATCGGGGCTGTGCTCGCCCGATAACTACACGAACACCATGGCTCCTATGGTCGAACTAGTCCAGCCACCTTGCCCGAGCGCGTTAGCAGCGACCGCCAACACAATCAACATGTCCAGCTGCATGCCTGGTACTGTCATGCCCATCTCGCCTTGCCTCACCAACAGTGTGCCACCCAGTCCAGTAGAACTCAAGCCACTCGAAATACACTGGGTGCCCACGGACAATAACAAACCTAAAACACGAAACAGGAAGGAAAAGACTGTGCTGCCGAAAAGAGAGCCGATTAAAATGCGAATGGGCTCTATCAACGAAAGCGACGACGACGAAGACGAAGATAGCGATGACGAGGACGACAATAGTGATCGCGACAGTACGAGTGGAAGTAGCATTGGAGGGGATGCAGACATGCTGGATATACCTAAGGAGGACATTTTCAATATATTCACCGACGAGGAGCTCGTCCACCTCAGCGTGAGGGAACTCAATCGACGACTTCGAGGCTACCGAAAAGACGACGTCGTGCGGTTGAAACAGAAGCGACGCACGCTGAAGAACCGTGGCTACGCGCAGAGCTGTCGGACGAAGCGTCTCAAGCAGCGACTCGACCTGGAGAATGAGCAGCTATATCTGAGGACGGAGCTGTCGAGATTGAAAAGCCAGCTTTCCATCGCCTCCCAGGAGCGTGACCACTACCGCAGACAGCTAGAGAACTTCCGAGTGAGCATGCAGGGAGCAGTGGTCCCGGAGAGTCCTGACTCTGCCGAGTTCTATCTGTGACCAATTTCAAATTGCCATGTTTGTCTGTAATGCCAACTCAGAATTTCCAGTAAAAACTAAAAGAAACAGAAAACTTGAACAAATACTGGAGAAACATGAGAAAAATGATTTAATTGAAACCAAGTTATCTTGAAGAAATTAGAAGTATAAAATGTTAATGTCATTAGAATAATTTGTCATGCTTGTCACAAAATGTTATTCTTTTTATAGTTTTGAAAATCGTAAACATGTTAGAATAGGTAGGAGATGACGCAATTCGAAAATTTGAAGGCAGTCACGACGAGTTACAAGTGTTGAGGTTATTCAATCGTGCGAACGTTAATTTTCTTTATTACAGGTTGTTTATGTAAAATTATTCAAAGAAATCCAATTATCCATGTTCTCATGCAAGCATTCCACTGTACGTGCCTGAAGTTGAGCCAGATACATTCCCGAATCGAGTGCTTGTAACTTCCTCGACACCTGTTATACATCTACCCTAACCACTACTCTTCCAGTTATACAAGGAGAGGAGGTGAACAAAAATTGGGGAAAAAACTACATTCCTCCTAAATCACCTTTCCATGTTTGGTGTTCTGAGGCTAGAAGAGCCCTTCGTGTTTTGTCAGAAGGCTCAGAGAGGGGGATTTTTCAATATCAAAGTGTAATCCACGCGACTCCAATATTGAACCAATCTGTTTCACACATGAAGTAAGCTTCGTGCGGGGATGTTATCACTTTTCAAGACATGTTGTACTCAAGAAGGGTATGTGTACCTTGCGAATGACTGTCCTGAAAACTCCCGATACTAACCATTCACCTATATTTTTCGGGGTGTCGTATTTAAGGTGTGTAATGGTCTAGTTAAATCAAACTTTTCACTCTGATTTCAAGTTTTTTATTCGAAGAGACAGGTACTGTGAAGATTTAAAAGTGTCGGGTTATTGTTTGTATTTTGACAAGACAATTATGATGGTTCCCGCTATGACTATGTGAATATGCTTTTCCTACTTGGTTGCTAGAGTATTTCCATACTCTATCTATCTATGCACCGTGCCTTTGTTTTATCTTTGTATATAGGGAGTTCAGTCTACGTATAAGGTCAGTCATAGCTGGATCAACAAAGTTCGATTGTCGAAATACAAACAAAACCTTGGTGTATGCCAGAAATATCCGGATAACACTCGCTCATCCCTCTGCCGCGAAGGACGGGTGCAAAGTACAGAATCGGGATTCGATTATCCTGTAAGTTTACCCCTGAACTAAAGCATTAAAAATAATGGCAGAGGTAAAATCATACGATTACAGACGTAATCCTGACTGAGAATCCCTAAATGTTGAACAAGTATTATCTTGATATTGATAGTTTGGTAATGAATGAAAAACTAACGCGTTAATCATTCTGTATTTATTTTTTATTTAAAAAATTCAACTGAATATTGATTGAAAGTTTCCTTCATCTCGTGTAGACGATTACAAAATGTGAAATTTTTATTTAAAAGTAAAATCGTAATAGCTATGATTTCTATCATGATATTTGTATACACAATTTCATTGAGAACGAAGGTCTAGACTAGTTCTAGACAAAAAAATAATGTCAAAAAATAATGTGAAATGTAAATGTAATTTTCAGATGCTTCATTCGTCCAACTTGTGTTGGTGATTACAAATTACATTCCTTTTCATATTACTGATCTAAAACTATACTAAACTCGGATAAACAAATAGCCTCAAATAACTTGGGTATGTTCATGTAACCAGTGACATGTACTAACTTCTAAAGAGGGCAAACTTAATCTATGCAAATATGTGATGTTTTCTTGCTTTTGTGTGTATAGAACTTAGGGATATTACCTGGGGTCAAAGAGTCAAAACGACTAAAGTTGAGTACTGACACTGACGCTAGGAGGGTTCTAATGTAAGCGTATGTGAATACACACTGAAAGCAAAATCTAGTGTGATAACTCCTTGGTATTATTAACGATTTTACGACTACATTCTCTTTGAAACATTTTGGGATGTGCGCGAGACTACCCATCGAAATGTTATACTCATTAATCAACCGAAACGTTTTTGGGGTACCGTTGCGACTTGCGATGAAAAAGATCTTTAAAAGTTTGGAGAAACATACATTGAATTCGGAAGATGGTGGTCATTTTGTCTTGTTGAAAAGATTTGCTTTTGCTCTCATGCACGCATTTGTTGAAGAATTTGAAAATGTTTCGGATTTGTGTATATCTAAATGTTGATTTCATTGTTGATATTTTTACTTTCGAGCTTATTCCAGAGTAGCAAGTAGATGTTAGGTCTTGATTTTGTGTTGTTGCTTAACTGACTAGATTACAGACAAACAAATTATATATAGTTTTCTATTTTTTTGTAGGTTAGTCAAGTTTACGTTTAGTGGAATCGAGTTATGCATTATGAAAGATTTTGTAAAGATATATGAAAGAAATTTATGGCTATTCCTGAAGTGGAATTGTACAGTTTCAAAGTTTTTATTCTGCAGTGAGAGAAAGGTTACAGTCTGTTTTTGTAAACCTATTTTAGTCACTCCAACTATTGTTATATATTATGATGATGGGTTAATCTCGATAGAGGCGTGCCAAAGCTAGGCCGCTATTTATCGGTATGACGTCACTCGAGAGATATATGGAAAAGGTCTTTTTTTTAATGATTTATCAGTACTATATATAAAAAGAAACACATTTGAACTGAGCATGATCTCTAAAAGTGAACCAAAATGATCTAAATCCATTGCTAGTTGGTATTGTTATCAAACAGGAGCCATCAATCTTATCGAATTTCTCCTTTTTTTTTGCTCGGCGCAATGGAATCGAGAGTAGGACACGGATTAGTGCGTCCCTCTGAACTTCCTTATTGCTTCCGAGTTCAGACGTTTCTTTAATTCTCACGAGGAAAACACATTATTCACGGTGTGCAATCCTACGGGAGATTGCCCAGTGGTTAACCCAGGTTGTCAATAAAGATACAGGAATACGTAATCAGTTAGTGCGCGAGCTTTTACGAATTATAAACGATAACAAAAATGTGCCGAGTTAACTTATCGAGCCAAGTGCATGCGTTCCAATTTCAAGCTTCAAGCCCTTTTTTTTCTTCGGGTTATTCATGTTTCTTTAAAAAAAAATGGCTGTTTTGTTTTTTTATTGGAAAAGGTTACTATTTCAGTTATCACTCCATGAAATCAAAAGTTATCATCGTTGTAATGGACCTGTCATTCTGTACACATACATCAGTTTGTGTAACTCTCATTTTGCGCTTCATGGTTCAACATTAGATGATTACCGCTATCACATAATTATTGACCTAAATTGGGAGAGCACAACAGTGGCACAATGAAAATGTTTCGATGTGGGCAGCTACACTAAATTTGTTTACATGTTCATAGATAAGAGCAGGGGAGTTCCAAACTCTTTCTTAATATCGCGGTATGTTTATAAATTGACTCGAGAGAAGAAAGAAAAGTCCATACCAGATATTGTTTCGTAGTAATCATATGCAATCATGATTTTCTAACGGGATTTCCTTCCGAGCAGTTATGACTCTATTTTATGACTGTTCATGGTCGTCTAGGGGCTTCTCCGCCTTCAAACACCCCCCCCCCCCCCCCCCCCCTCCCCTCCCACCTTGGATAATTCTCTCCACCGTCTATGGATGGCGGTTCCCAAGGTCTATCACCCATCTTGTTGCTTGGCTGTAACGACCGACGACTAAGCGCTGCTCTGATTGGCCAGCAGCTCCGCGTGACCCGCTGATAAAGGTCAAATCGCTCCAACTTCTGACAAATTAGATTAGGGCGTCGGTGTCGCTGAAATGCGAACCAACTGTTCTCGGTCGTTCGGGTGGGAGAATGGCATTGTTTAGTTCATGGGATAATGTTTTCCTCCAAGAGTTAGGCTCACTTATACCTCGAGAACGTCAAATTTAGACATTCGTTCAAATCATCTCATTTCTTTTGTCGGCGGTCAGTATTTGACCTTAGTTACTACTGCCAACCTCAAGTTATATGACCGTATATCGTTATATTTTGATAACTTGTACTCCTGTTTTCATCGCACCTCTGAAACCCCAATAGCCAGGCGTCTTAATCGTTCATCGGTTGTTTGTATCTGTTTCTGTAGAATGTGGATATGACAACTATGAATATTATGTTGAGAAGTCTTGGTGAAGTGTTCAATGGTTCCACTGGGTTCCTTTGAACATTTGTGGAGGGAATGTAATCTTATATATTTTTTTGATAACATTTTAACGGTATTTGTTACCTTTTCGTTATTGAAAAAAATGAAATGCAAATTTTACTACGACCTCCCCTGGTAGTGTAAATTCCCACCTCGGCAGGGGTCACGTGTTTTTTTTTTCTTCTTTTGTTCTTCTACTTTTTGCTTCGTACCTCGACTTCTATATCCTTTTTTTTACCGGGTTTTGTGGTCAGCTACATATTGTACAAAACTTCACGGTTAATTGGATAATCATGTGATATTAGGAACACGTGACTTAGAGTATTAGGAGTGATAATTGCAAAAAGAACATTTTATTTCACACAAGTCAAACAAGTTTTGTGGGGGTTTCTGTTTATATTCGTCGCTTGTCGTGACAGGAATGAATGCTCCGGCATGAATGAAACTAGTTTGACGTTTGCTTGATACTTTATGGAAGAAATACCATAAAATGGGTAAATCACCCGTAAAATAAGCTGACAATACCTTGTTACTTTGTATTGAATTCTCTCGGAAATGCACCCCGATTTGTATTAATCGTAAATCCATGCTTTTATTGTTAATCGTATCTAGGCCTAATTGTGTCGGAAATTGCTCAATGATGTTTAACTTTGTAACACAATAGTATTTAATAAACACAGATACTCGAAGTTCAAGAGTTTATTATACTCAATCTCTCTTGCATGAAATAGATGACCCAAATTAATTGAAGCGTACAAAAACCCAGTAAATCAGGAGTTAAATGAAGCGCTAGAAGCGACGGGACAGCTTGAATGATTTTCAGGTCATCTGTCTACTAAACTTAACTATATCTAATTTTAGACAATTTAGATTTTAATCGACAATAAAAGGTGAACGTTTTTACACTGTATTGATCGTGATTTATCACAATGCTGCAGTCCCCGAAATCTTTCAGAATTGTTGTATTACAATATGCCTTGATGATCTTGCTTATCCTCATTCGAATATAGGAGCGTTGTTAATTTATTGTTGTGATAAAAGAAATGAAGAAAACTAGTCTTCCATGAGTATGATGTCACGTTTGATCTTTTATTGTTTTAATTGTATATGAAGAAGGATGCTTACCAGGCATGCACCACAGTGTACTGTAAGCGGTTCTTTGCTTTGAATGAATTCAGCCATACTGATTCAATCGGAGAGCAAAGATGGAAAAACAAAAATTCATGGTGCCTTATATATTTCAGATTTATTCCTTTTTTTCTCTCTCTCTTGGATCCGTCGATATGCAAATGAGTTATTTGACAATACATTGTTCTGATTTAGTGTTGTATGTTTCTTTCTTTCCTTTTCTCAGAAAGATTGAAAAGATCTTTTGCCACTCGCTGAAGTTCAAGGAACTGTCATAGTATATTTATACATGTACTTTGATTGTGGATCGATATATTATCGTCTCAAATCTTCTTTATTTTTGTATGAAAATCTTGATTCTTAAAGATTTTCCCTTGAGTTTTGACGACGAATGTCCATTCTTGTTCAATTGCAATTTGCAAAAGTACCTAACATTTTGTTCGTTTTCCAAAATGTTTTTTTTTTAAACGTGAGCCCATTCCGCCTTTTTTCGTTGGCTTCCATATTTCTGTCCAGAACTGATCTTGTTGTAATGAAATAATAATAAATCTATTTTTCTTATGTATGCAAAGAAATATTGCTGGACTCATTGTCGTATTCTTGTGTCATGTTGATAGCAAAGTATAGGAGATGCAAATTGTGTTGTGTTTGACATGAGGAGTATAATGTGCATGAGATAATGTGGGCGTTGGTAAATCGAAGTTCAACGTAACTAGATTAAAATCTATCCATGACAAATGACGCCAATAATTTGTGCAAAAAACATAAATAAATGAACGAATTGATGGGATAAGAGCACGAACAACATGAGCTTGAAATGAATGCAGATGGTTGATTGGTTGATTAGTCGATTGATTGCGTTGTTACGTGAGTTAGAGATTAATTACTTATTAATTGGTATTTGGTAAACTAATCCAAAGTAATAATAGGTATTAATTTATTAGTGATTGATTTATGAGTGATGGGTTTCTCTGAAGTAATACATGTCTCTTATTCTTTGCGACAATCTCTTCATTTAAACTTTTAAAATAATGTTGGGAGCCAGAAGGGCGGACTTGCCTTTATTGAGAGTTCATGCAGTGGACATAGAGGATGCACTGGTACTGACACCATTGCGAACAGGTGGGGGCGGGGGGGCGGCACTGGTTTTAATCGTAATTGAATGATATGCCAATTATTATTTTTTATTAGGGAGGGGGTAGATCGGTAGGTCCTATTGTCTTTTCTTTTGGTCCCTTTCCCGTTATCCCTTTTCATAAGTATTTTCTTTTATTTTTTCCAGCCTTTTTTTTTCTTATAGCCTTGCGCGGGGGGAGGGGGTGTTGGGCGTGCCTCCTGGTAGCTACGCCAAAGGGTTCATGAGATACCAATCTTACTCGGTGTAATCTACATAATAGCTGGTTTCAAATCCTCTAAAACAGCGACGTGATCTTACATCCTATGTCGTCATGTGATATGACCAGGGATATGACGTCACTTTACTTTGACTTTGAGTACCATGCATGGTTTTGAACGATGATGTTCGTGTTTGAATGCTATCACTTTATACCTAAAGCTTTCAAATCATAGTCAGAACGAAGAGGGCAGGCGTCAGACTTACAGGTATCGAAGAAAATCAATCCCCAATAGTCAACTACTCTAAAAGAAGGCAGACAATCAGATTATAAAATTGGTGAAAAATTGAACTAAAAAAATCGGACAAAAAATGAAAAAGATTTTTTTTTTAAAGTTGCAATCACTATATATATATATAAACGAAATGTTGCTATACATGCATAGTCTAGACCTCTCGTAAAGGGGACATTCCTATTGACCGAAAGCCCACGAGGCCATAACCGTAGGCCCATGGAACCGACTTACAAGTACAGCTAACCTACTAACTGGGCCTGCGACATCAAATACATCTAGTTCGGTCCCGTAAACCCTCAGAAGAAAGAAGGAAACCGACAGCCCCTGAGACCGATGTCGGTCTCATGAAACCCCTGATAACTTTATATCAGGACAGATATAGCCGATCTTGTCGGCTGTATCTAGGGTAACCGAAAGAGAAAGCTTTTTTCACTGAGGGTCGACGATCTTGTTCACTCGATACTAATTGTCTTTAACAACAATTCTTTACCTCTTTGTTTTCTGTTCTTGTTCTTCTCGGTGTCTGATTGGGATCAAAACTTTGGATTTTGAGCAAAATGCTTGTTCATTTCAGCCCTTGCCAAAAAAAATCTTTTCGAATTGGCGCTGAATAAAACAAAAGGGTGACGCATCACGGAAACAACCGATGTAACATGTGGGTCTATAGGCTATACCCGGCCAAAGATTGCGATCATTTCTCAAAGGTCTTGGATGCACGCCGGAAAGGCAAGAACGAGGCCAGCGGAAAGCCAGATAAGATTGTCTTTGTTTTGGTCTTAATCCAGGCCCATATCTAAGGATGATCTGGAGATGATCCTGCGACGAGATAATGGTGGGATGAAACCAAAAAGAATAAAAGGAATAAGGAAATGAAAATAATGGATGGTTTCGTTTCCTTGGTAACACGCATGAACAGCATACCTTAATATTGTTATTACCTTTCTTATTTTGGAAGGAGGGCATGTGCCCTACATTATTTTCCCATCATAGACATAACAGAAAACAAAAACAACACTTTTGGGGGGGGCTTCTTTTTTCTTAGGGTGGGATGAACTCGGAACCCTTCCCTCTCCTCTACCTCTATCCTCTCCCCTCTATAATCATCTCTCCCACTTCCCTCCACTTTTCGTTCTCTCCCCCCCCCCCCCCTTCTCACAACCACCTTTCTGTCTCTTTCTTTTTGAAGAAAAAAATTCTCAAAGAAGGTGGTCGTGCATGACTATCCCTTTATCTAATGAGAATAAAGGAAAGACATGCAATTTGCATGTACAATCAGCCACATTGATTTGATACACCTCCATCCCCCCTCCCCTCTTGTCTCCCTCACTCCCTTATCCTCCCTCCCCCTTCTCTCTCTCTCTCTCTCTCTCTCTCTACTTTTTTTCTGCTACTCTCTCTATATGCAAATAGAGTCTCATTGAATGAGAGTCACGACATTGGTTCATCTTTTTGGTTCATTTTTTCACACATTGTTCAGGCCTGCACATCTATTGTCGACTTATAATAAAAGCTTAATGATACAGTCAGAGCCCTGTCGTCAGAATTGGCTACAAACTTTTCTAGTTTCCACACTATCACTCAGTTTGTCTATAATGCAAAGAAATGTTTTGGTTTGACATAATAGACTACTGTAAAGCTCGTCTAGTGGCCCGTACCCCCCCCCCCCCCTTTCACCCTTACTGTATACATCCTGGATCCGTCCCTGTTCTCGTCGCATTGATTTAGGATATTTAAAAAAAATGATAAAAGAAAAAAATTATGGTCTGAAGAGCTTGAACTCGAGACAAAGTTTAAAAAACGTGTTCTACCCGGTAAAGACCAGATTATTAGACAAACATGCATTTATATTTACCCTTTATCATCTTGTATCTACATTTAGCACGGCGAAGCCTGCAATACATATCTCAATATTGATATTACAGTTTGCTTAGGTAGTCCTCCAATACTCCCTTGCATGTAGAAAGCCAATGGGCGGTACAATGTCCACATGGAATATTGTCGAGTCAGCAGAATTTTAAGATAAAGGAAATGCGTGTAACATGAAATGATAAGAAAGATGAATACATCTGTGACATCTCTCATTTTCTTCTATACCATAATGATAAAAATAAAACAATAAATTGAGATGATAACGTTTTTCTTAAAGGGGCATGTTCCCCGTATTCCAGAGGGCGTTCAAAATACGTACCCGCTGGCGGACGGTGCTAGCTGCCTATTGACACCAACAGAATGCGGCTCTTACGTAGATGGCATGTTCCAAATGCCCGGACAATACCGATTATCGCATACATGTGCCGAAGTAATGCCAATCGCAGTTCGGCTCTAAGATTCGGCTGCTGTTTCCGCCCACTTTCGCGACGTCGCGATCGTCAGCGATCAGCTGGCTTGGCGAAGGCAGGCCAGGCCGCGCGTATTTTGATTGACAGCTGTATGCAAATTAGAAGTCGACCTTCGGAACCAAGATGGCGATGACTAGAACAGCGATAACTACACTGCCGGGAACGTGCCCCTTTAAGCCGCTCTCATTCCATATGATTGGTATTAAGTGGAAATATAATGTGAAAAAATTAGTTTAAATATGTATCATACTTTGAGACATGTATTTCTACCAAATATTTGCTGAGTCCTCCGACCTTATTGAAATTTCCACTGACACTGATCATAAGCTTAGTTTATTATCAAATAAATGATGACCAATATGATGTATACTGCAGATTGTCTTTCATTCTCTAAACTTGTTTCATTTACATAATACAGTGACTAAACAAACTAGAGTGCCGGAACTTTCTTATTAAAACCCATCTGTTTCAGGTAAAAGCATATTCAATTTCAAGATTTGAATAAAATATTATAAATCTAAGTAACTTGCACTCATGAATTCAAGATTTGTCATAATTATGTAAGGCATAAACCCAATTATGTTTATATGAAATAAGGATTTTTAAAAATAATTTACATTGGCTTATCATGCTGATTGCAGCCTAACTATTGCCTGATTTGGTATTACTGACATTTCTTTCAGGCAGCTTTTTGATGAACTCAAATTCATGAATCTTTTCAGTTTAACTTTGGGGGCGGGCTATGGAGAAAACAGTGCATAAATTATATACGATCAGAAAACGAAGGGAACGTTTTTGTCTGTTCATACAGTCTCATTGTTTTGTTTCGAAACTTGCCCGGCATAGCAACCAACACGTCGACCATGCTGACACGAATCTCTCAATATGTTAATTACTAAAGGCAAGGGGAGATTATCTCGCTGTGACCCCAGCCTGTTGCTGGCTATGCTGACAAACATTTATTGTTTCGTCTTCCTAAGATGTAGAGACCGTGCACAAAATGTTCTAAAACCGTTAAAATGCACAGAGCTATGCGGTCTATGTGAATATAAAGTTATAAACGCACCGGTGAACCTTGTTTTGTATACCCAATGCCCCCGTGTTTGAATAAAAGAACAATCGGGGCAGCAGTGACTAAATCGGGGCCGAAGTCTGCACATGTCCTCATTTTGGCTTCTTTCTTTTTGACAGTTAAAATGGTTACTGGGATGATCGATGGTACCCGTTTGGTGTTCATGGGGACAAAACATGACATGGAAAATTACAAAATAATGGTTTAGTTGGATAACTACAAAATAATAATGCATGAATTCGAATACGATGTGTTATATTAAGAGTGACCAGTCAGCGATGTCATTTGTTAATACTTTTGGGCGAATTATCGTAAAAGTTTATCACAATTTCAGTTTTATTCCCCCTCTCTCTCTCTCTCTCTCTCGAGCAGCCACCATCTTTCTCATATTTGGGTACCTGCCATTTCATATTTAGGCAGTGAGTAGATAAATATCTGATATATTACTTTTGAAAAAAAGATATTTTCATTATAATGAAGTGAATACAAAATTTCTCTCTCGCCGAATTTAAAAACGGGAAACGTGATTCGAACC